AAACATTCGTGTTAAAACGTTATTTTTAATGTGTTTTTTTTCATAGAGTATCACAATAATGAATTTATGTGTTTATTATTTGAATATAAATGATTTAATGGCGAAGCAAACGCGCGCACGATCTGGGATGGCATTGTTTTCCTTAGCAACCATGGCGGAAACGACAGAGGACGGTAAAATCAACACAGATAAAAAACAGCTTGTTGAACTTGTGGAGGACTTGAAGTAAGGCACAAAAGTTTAGTTTTTTCAAAATCTTGACTTATTCTTGCTGTCATATTTGCCAAACGATAACCTTTGTTCGTTTTAATACATGTAGTTGGCTGATAACGAGCCTGCAGCGTTTTAACTGACTCTAAACGTTTTAGTTCTTGTTCTGTCAACAAACATTTTATATTATATATTATTTTTTACATTTGAATAACTCATTTTTGTTTTCCTGAATTTAAGACGCTCAAATGCAGCGCAACAAGCAGAGATCGATATGTTTGAGCGATATAGTAGTGGGCTGGACCTACAGCCTCAATCGGAGAATTATGAAACAGCATCACAGATAGAAATGGCAACGGTACGTATTTCATATACGATGTGTGTTATATGCGTTTTGAATAATTTCTCATTATTGTAAACAAATGAATACATTCATGGCGTAATGTGCAGTGCGTAGTGACGTCTCTGTCGTCTCTTTCCACTCTCAGTTTTTGAGGTGAAATATTACTTGTGCATGTAAATCTTGTAATCTAAGACGAGATATATATATATATATATATATATAATTCCCATGACGTCATTCGTTTATTATCAATCTTTTGATACCAGAGTCCAGGAAGGAAAACTAAAGCACGCACTCCAGAGAGACAACAGCTCCTGACACTAGAACAGAAATGTGATGTCGCCAAAAGCATGCATAAACAGATGACTGAGGATTTGAAGAGAGCAAAAGACCTTTCAGAAAGAGAGCTGGACAATTACAAGGTCATTGGTCAAGAGAGAGAGAACAAGCTCATGAGGCTATTACAAATTAATTTCATATGCTTATGTAATTGATTCTACCCTCTTTAGGCAACTCTGGAAGAAGCTGATATCCACTTGGCGGAGGTTAAAAAAGAATGTTGCCAGTTTGATCGTGACATTGGTAAAGCGCTGCGGGATAAAAAGAGTGTGACGATGAGTGCTGAGAAGGTCATCAGATACATTGAGGATAAAGTAAAGGCCAAGGTAAAAGAAAACTTCAGATTGCAGGTTTACAAGAATAATGATTTACAAGCACAATAAAGTGCCCACATTTTTTCAGGAAAGCCTGATTGAGAAGTTGCATCAGAAGAATACAGCACTCCTCGCATACAAGAAAAAACTACAAATCCAGTTGAAACAACAAGAGGAGATGGGTGAAGGCCTGACAGCTTTGGATTTTGAGCAGCTCAAGTTTGGGAACATGAAATGTAGGAAGCGACTGGATGAGCAAAACCTCAGACGTGTGGAACTCAAATTACTCACAGGGAAGACCCTGCATGTCTTGAATTCTAATAAGGTGACATGCTCAATCAACCATAATGTGGTCCTGACAGCTTAAGATATCAATATCAATCGATATGTGTTGAGCTACACGCCACAGTATTAGGACAGGTCTTGTAAGGGTCATTGTTATAAGGAACTGTTGGCCTTGATCAGACCTTGATCTAAAACTGTGGGTGTCTACAGAATTATTTTTCAATATTTCGATCTTGCAGGAGAAGCTTCAGACCTTGACACATGAGTCAGATGTGCTGAGCAGTGACACTGCTTTACGGGCGAAATTGCTGATTAAGTTTGAGGAGGAGACCAAGCAAGCAGAGGAGGTCAGGATAATGAAATTCATTATATGCACTTCAGAACCCAACATCATGGAAGTAAATAAATAAATATTCAAATTCTGGTAATCTATCGACCATTATTAAAAACAACAAAAACGGACTAAAAGACATTTGTACTATTTGGAGCGGTACTCCACTGGCCAAAAGCCATAATATGGATTTTTTTTCCTGACAGGAACGAAACAAAGCAGAGGTTCTGAACAGGAAGTTGAGGGGCCAGTTGGCCGATTTTCACGTACCACATGTCCTACAATACATCAACGTTAAGGAGTCTCATGGTCAGCTGCAGAAGAGTGTTAAAGAATGGGAACGCAAGGTGGAGATTGCAGAGGTGAGGATTCTTCAAACGCTTTTTTATAGATATTTTTTTAAATTCCAGAATTGTGTTTTTTAATGATCTTATTATTCCAGATGGCACTAAAAACATACTCAAAATCCTGGGACAAGCTTCGGATCACTGCTGGAGCCAGAGCAGTTCCTGCACGACATGCAGCCATAGATGCTGGATTGTATGGATTCTGAAACAACAAAAACTGAACATGTCCTAAATAACCTCAATGCCCAAGATGATGTCAAAGATGCCTATATATTTTAAAACAAATGCATCAATATGAAGAATAATAAAATGAACATAAAAATGACAACAATGCATTATTAATGAAAAGGTTTATTAGTTAGTGCTGTGTATATTAAATGCTACATACAGATATTTAAGCATGAATGTCACATCAACCGCCACATGAAGTTTTCTTACTAGCTCATTCACAATCTACAATTTGAAAAAAAGCTAAGGAGAAGTATGTGCACTCGGAAGTGCAGATATTTGGAACAGATTACGGGAACTAACACAGCAGGCATGCACGGGGTGGAGAGGTCTCAAAACCATAGAGGAAGGCCATTGATCTTAACGTTCCCCTGTGGTCCTGAAACGTCTGCCAAGAATATAGATATTCATATAGAGATTTTAAACAATATTAATAAAAAAATTTAATATACAAACGTGAAAACATAAAAAACAACAGTTTCCAAATCCAACTGCTCATTGATTCTTAATGCCTACAGTAAAAAAAAAAAAAAAAAAGCTCCTCTGTATTTAAAACGATGGATAAATAGTTACTATAAAGGGGAAACAAATTGGAGGCAAAGGGTTCTGCGGAGAAACTAGACGCCCCTGCTTAAAGGTGCAATAGGTGATTGTCTTCAGAAACATTTGTTGTTATGCTGGTTTAAAGTCTCTTGACATCCCGGGGGGCGGGATCGGGAAAGGTCCTCGAGTCGGGATTCGAACACGGGACACCCAAAGCACAATGGCGCTGAATGTCGGCGCGCTGCCCACAAGGCTATCGGCGGTGACAGCAATCATTAAGTTAAGTGATCTAAATGTATTTGTCTGTATTTATATATTCTGTGGAAGGCGTAGGATCAAGAAATGTTCGTCCAATCAAAACGCTCGGTCCGAGCGTTTTAATTGGCTTTCCTACTGCCTGTCAACGTATGTATTTGCATACCTATGCACACCGGGTTCGCGCAGACAGGATACGTCATCAGCGCGTTCACGCACGCTGTGCAGACAGAGCAAGAATGGCAGACAAACATCAACAACCCGATCTTCCTTCCTGGTATTGTAGTACTTTTAAAGTTTTCTCACCGGTGAATGACACATGATGTAGCCCCGCGGTTAATCCAGTCCTCGCGCCAGCTCGTTAGAAGTGAGCTACGTGCATGAACTGTGTTCCAATCGATATGATCCCTACACAGTGTTCATTGCTCCCTACTCCCTGAGCGGGGGAAATCCGTTGAAGTTTACTTGACTTCGGAACATGGGTTGGAATTGGGAACCGCTGATGTAGCCTATTGTAGTAATGTCTCTGGTCTGTGAGCGTAAATGCGTTCAGGGGGTGTGGCTTTGGACAGCGATTGCAGGGAGGGGGGACATTCACTTTCAGTGCTATCAGGCTAAAGTTAGCATTTTCCAAGATCTCCTACTGCACCTTTAAGGCCAAGGTGTCACTATCACCTCTAACCTCACTGTACAGTACAAGGCGAAACCTAACTGCAAGAGGGAGATGCTCCTCAAGGGCCAATAGTCAACATATAATACTGCATAAGCAACAGAGCTGAGAATGTCAATTTTGCCCCAAGTAAGATGATGGGAATTTGTGATGTGGGTGGGAGGGAAAAAAGCAGGCAAATCAAGACTTGGACAGCTTGTTCTATTCAAATTCAGCCTTGTAGACCAATAAAAATGTGGCAGCTTTTTCTAATATTAAAAAAAGGAGAGTATGTGATTCAAAAACCAAAGATTACTCTTGAATGAGTACCACTTACCCTCTAAACCAAATATGTATATACTACGATTGTAGTAAGTGTCAGTTTAAAAACCAAAAGAACGTACTGGTTATCATTTGATGAGTATGCAACACAGACATTCACTAACAAAAACATCAGAATGACGTGCGTTTAAGTCAAGGCCTTCGAGGCCCAAACAAACACTTTCCCTCCTGGATTCTGGGGGGAACCGAAAATCCATTTTGAAAGTCTTTGATCTTACGGTTTTTATAAAAGAATAACAAAAAATGACTCACTGTCATTTTGCGAAAGGCAAATGACTGCAGGCAAGACACGGTGTTGGCAGATTAGAGATCAAACATGTGGATAAATCTATACAGCAGAGGAAGAATGACACTTATGGTACTGTACAAGTAGGCCTACATGAGTCCTGTATGGGGGAGTGGGTGGCCAGGCAAGGGGCAAAAACCTTTATAAAAACAGACTCAACTTTCACGCAACCTTTAACACCAATTACAATCCAAACTACATCTACAAAGAGCCTGAAATTAATTTTAAAAAGGCAAATCGGAAACAAAACTTAAAGAATGTATGAATCAGAACTTCACATGAAAAGCTACTTATAAAATTGTGGTGCAGTTTAAAAACGACATCGCAATATCTAATGACAGGACTGGTAAACAAGTTGCATACATACTATGTACATACAGTAATACAGGAAGCCTTTTCAGGTTTTTTAGGCAATTTTCAGGACAGCTGTACCGATTCTCGTGTTAACAAGATTGAAGTTTACATTTCTATATAGATTCTATATATTTGCGAATAATCTCAGTGAAATGTAGAGACCATCTGAGGTCGTTATACTTCTGCTGGTTAACGATCTGTCCGTTTAAGTTCTGGTACAGTACAGTAGTAGATTTTGGTACATACCATTAGTTGCCACATCGAGGGGAACGTCAACATTGACATAGACAGCCAGTTTCAACAGTTCATAACAGAACAACTTTGTCCCCCTTTTTGTTTTGTCATTAGCTTTGGGGTGAACTAAATGCGCACAGTAGGCTGCCAGAGGTGCTCCAAATGTGTGTACAACATACTCATATTGGAGCAAGGCTAGTGATCAGAATAGTTATTAACGTAGAGGCACACAGTAAGCAATATTTCAACCATACTAGGTACTACCAAAAATGTATAGCTGATTTAATATGAAGGATCAAGACTTAACAATTAGTTGCAGACTGAATCGTTTTTTGTCTTGTGCTCTAGAGATTTGATGGGGGCATTGTGAGCCACGTCGGGTCAAGGAGCCACAATGCAGGGCAAATGCCGCCCTACTGGTCTAGGATCACAGTGCTATCTGGGACAGAGTTTGGAGATCTCCCCTTGCCTCCTCCCAGGATTTAGATGTAAACCAACAAATCGATAACTTTTTGTCGATAAAATCCAATTCAACTATGCCTCTTGATATCAAAAAGGGAATAACAACTTGTTGAGCATATGCATGTTTAGAACAAAATGAGGTATTATGAGGTTACTGGGCCTTGTACGAATTCATTTGTCTGGGGTAGTTTGCGGAGATTGATAATACCTTTGCAAATGATAATCAGGGGAACAAATTACTGAATGAGAGAGGACACAGGGTACCCCCCACCTTCAGCCGTGTGCTGGACAGTATGCTCCTGAAGGGCTCCTAGATCAGCGAATCGCTCTCCACACCATACACATTTAAACTGGGCATCTCTCGCATGCACGCTTTGATGCTTGGCCAGGTGTTCGCGCTGCTTGAAGCCCTTGTCGCAACTGGCGCACTTGTAGGGCTTCTCTCCGGTGTGGACACGCCTGTGCCGCTGCATCTCCGAGGAGTACTTGAAACGCTTCTCGCAGTCAGGACATTTCAAGGGCTTCTCCCGGGATGGGTCGCATCGGTGCTGCACGAACTCTGAGGAGGACAGGAAGCGTCGGTCACACAGCGAGCATTTGAGAGGCTTCTCGGTGCAGTGGGAATTCTGATGGCGCTGTAGCGTGGTGGCTTTTTTGTAGGCCTTTCCGCAAACGTCACACTTGTAGGGCTTGTCTGGATTTATGGGTGTCGAGGAGGACTCACCACATTTGTGACGGAGCAGCTCCCCGGACTGGCTGAAGCCCTTTCCACAGGAGGCACATTTGAAAAGGTTGTCCATGCCGTGAACGTGCTGGTGGTACAACAAGTGGGACGGCTGCAGGAAGCCCTTGTCGCACAGGTTGCATTTGAAGGGGCGGTCGGCAGAGGGCTTGTGCGTTCGCCTGTGGCGCACCAGGGCGTACTGTTGTTTAAAGCTCATCTGGCAGTCTTCACAGTGGAATGGGCGTTCCTCCGAGTGGGTGCGTTCGTGCTGTCTCAAGTCGGACGGACGCTTGAAGCCCTTCCCGCACGTGGCGCAGCGAAACGGCCGAGCACCTTGCGGCTGACACTGGTGGTGGAGGAGCTCAGAAGACTCTTTGAAGTGCAACTCGCAAAGGTTGCACTTGAACAGGTGCTCACCCGAGTGGGCGTACATGTGACGGACTAGGTGGGATCGGTGCTTGAAACTCTTCTCGCACACCGCACACTTGAACGGCCGTTCGGAGCTGTGGGTACGCTGGTGGTGGGCTAGATGTGAGGACTGGCTGAAGCTTTTGTCGCATGTTTCACATTTAAAAGGCTTCTCGCCCGAGTGGACGCGTTCATGACGGGTGAGCTCAGATAAGTGACGGAAGCCCTTGGAGCACACCGAACACTTGTAGGGTCTGTCAGGTTGCGAAGGCTCGAACGTAGGCTGACCTGATGTCCCGACGGCAGCGCTGCCACTGGATGACGCTTCGTCGTTGGATGGCTGCCCTGGAGTGGCCGTTGACGAAGTTGGCGTGGCATTTCCAGAACCCGGCTGATATGTTTTTTCACATATGGAGCACTTCATGGGGTTGCCGCTGTTATGGGCATTGTGATGCTGTGCTAGCGAAGTTAGCAGGGAGAAGCCCATCTTGCACACTCCGCACACAAAGGGTTTCTGCTCCACCTGTACACACTGGTGCTCCAACAGGTCAGTGGCTTGGTGGAAGATTTTCAGACACTGCGTGCACTGAAACGAACGGTCTTGGCTCACCATGCACTGGTGCTCATGAGGATTAGCCAGATGGGAGATGTCATGGCCACACGCACCACACTTGTGTCCTCCCTCGCTCCCGACATGCAAGGAGGGTTGCTGCGCTTGTGCCGGATGCTGCTGCTGGTTGTGCTGCTGACTGTGATGCTGCTGTTGTTGTTGCTGCTGCTGCTGGGATTGTTGCTGCAATGCCGTGTCCGGCTGGAGGACAATGCCATAGACGGTGCAGCCCAGTGTGTCCACCCCTGGTGGGATGGTGTGCACCACTGGAGGCGGGGCAACAGCATGTTGCTGCCACGCCTCCGTCACCCGGGCTCGGGTGTATGGATTCAGCTTTGAGCCGTAGTTGAACCTCTTTTCAGGTGAATTCAAGGGGAAGGGATTGTTGGACTGCCCACGATGGGAAAGGTGGGGAGGCAAAGAGGAACTTATTTTGACAGCTTGTGAGAATGACAAATGAAGAAAAATTATTCTATGTAATAATGTTTTCAGGAACACTTTGTGGCTTGATATAACAGCGAACTGACATGGATGTGAGCATCAGCCAAAAGTGCAAAGGAGCTTGACCTTCTTCATCACCTTGGTACAGCCCTATAAGAGAAAAACAAGAAAACTGGATAAAAAAAACGTGCAATAAAACACTCCACACATCTTTAGGGGCATTCACACTGCAGGGCTCCACAACAAGGATGGCTTGTGAAACAGTTTTTAGCCAGTTGATGGAACAATCAATTGCCTCATCATACATTTGTTGATCTTATACATGCCATTTTATGCCTTGCAAATTTAAACTTAATATTAAAATGAGTATTGTCATTTCATATTTTGCTGATTTAAATGTTACCAGTGTAACATTATCTAACCGGCTGACAAAAGGCATCTTTACACTGTCAAGTTAAGGCTGCTTTGTACCCATTTAAAATTCAGTGTAAAGATACAATGGTGCAAAAAATAGGCTAAATTAAGCCTGCTCTGACCCACCTTATTCCCTAGTATCAAACTGTACAGTTGCAACTGCTGTTAATGCATTTATGCCACCTCTGGGTAGCATTTAATTAGTCTAAGATGCACTTTAGAAGCACTTCTGTGTCACCTTTGAAGTGTAAACTTGTTTTATTGAAACGGATATAAAAACTTATTCTTGGAAACATCATTAAGACTAGGTTAAAAATGACATAATTCATTCTTTTTTTTGTTGTTGTTGAAAAAACAAATCAAGATTCTATGAAAAATATAAATATATTTTATGGCATATAGAAAATATAACTGAAATAAAAATGTGTGTGGGCAGTATAGCAAAAAAACTAACAAAAAAAACAATCTACTGGTCTGAATGGGACACAATAAAATATCCGAATTGTTCAACAATACGAGCCCTGACATTGACAGTGGCTTGCATCATTAAAATTTACCATAGACATAATTTTCAGAGAAAGCTGACTATTTAAGGCAACATGAGTTTAAAAGGACTGCTGGTGATGCAACAAAGTGGGCATCAACTTTTTACAATGTTGCTGCTGCTGCTGGGATTGTTGCTGCAATGCCGTGTCCGGCTGGAGGACAATGCCATAGACGGTGCAGCCCAGTGTGTCCACCCCTGGTGGGATGGTGTGCACCACTGGAGGCGGGGCAACAGCATGTTGCTGCCACGCCTCCGTCACCCGGGCTCGGGTGTATGGATTCAGCTTTGAGCCGTAGTTGAACCTCTTTTCAGGTGAATTCAAGGGGAAGGGATTGTTGGACTGCCCACGATGGGAAAGGTGGGGAGGCAAAGAGGAACTTATTTTGACAGCTTGTGAGAATGACAAATGAAGAAAAATTATTCTATGTAATAATGTTTTCAGGAACACTTTGTGGCTTGATATAACAGCGAACTGACATGGATGTGAGCATCAGCCAAAAGTGCAAAGGAGCTTGACCTTCTTCATCACCTTGGTACAGCCCTATAAGAGAAAAACAAGAAAACTGGATAAAAAAAACGTGCAATAAAACACTCCACACATCTTTAGGGGCATTCACACTGCAGGGCTCCACAACAAGGATGGCTTGTGAAACAGTTTTTAGCCAGTTGATGGAACAATCAATTGCCTCATCATACATTTGTTGATCTTATACATGCCATTTTATGCCTTGCAAATTTAAACTTAATATTAAAATGAGTATTGTCATTTCATATTTTGCTGATTTAAATGTTACCAGTGTAACATTATCTAACCGGCTGACAAAAGGCATCTTTACACTGTCAAGTTAAGGCTGCTTTGTACCCATTTAAAATTCAGTGTAAAGATACAATGGTGCAAAAAATAGGCTAAATTAAGCCTGCTCTGACCCACCTTATTCCCTAGTATCAAACTGTACAGTTGCAACTGCTGTTAATGCATTTATGCCACCTCTGGGTAGCATTTAATTAGTCTAAGATGCACTTTAGAAGCACTTCTGTGTCACCTTTGAAGTGTAAACTTGTTTTATTGAAACGGATATAAAAACTTATTCTTGGAAACATCATTAAGACTAGGTTAAAAATGACATAATTCATTCTTTTTTTTGTTGTTGTTGAAAAAACAAATCAAGATTCTATGAAAAATATAAATATATTTTATGGCATATAGAAAATATAACTGAAATAAAAATGTGTGTGGGCAGTATAGCAAAAAAACTAACAAAAAAAACAATCTACTGGTCTGAATGGGACACAATAAAATATCCGAATTGTTCAACAATACGAGCCCTGACATTGACAGTGGCTTGCATCATTAAAATTTACCATAGACATAATTTTCAGAGAAAGCTGACTATTTAAGGCAACATGAGTTTAAAAGGACTGCTGGTGATGCAACAAAGTGGGCATCAACTTTTTACAAAAAAAACAGCAGCGCTCATGTGATTCACATCATGATATAACTGGTTACAGCAAGAACGCCTACTACATCAGCAAAGTGACTTGAGGATCTTGGCAATTTAACCACTGCTAATGTGAATGGCCTTAATCTTTACTGCAACAGCTGGCTTTGAGTCTTGGCTGGATGGTCTGTAAGGAGATCTACATCATTTGCACCAATGCACATTTCAAATCATATCATACTAACTTGGAATATTAAGAGCACACCAATATTGTAACGTTACATGAGCAAATGATAAACTACTAACAATGAGCGAAGACAGTATCATATGCACCAAAGGAAATCTGATCACAGACCACCTCTCACCAATAATAACAGGTACAAGCATCTGTCAGGTACACCTCAGGTTTCATTTTGGATAGCGAGATGGACTGTCTTGCCAACAAATAGCATCACAGAAATACATATGATACCCAAAATGCTGTCCATGTAGGAAGCTCTCTATGTTTTGAGACAGTCCTATTGTCTCAATCACCACATTAATAGCCTGTGTACAAAAGGGGTACACCTGTCCCAAAGCATGCATGTACGGTTAAGAAAATGTAATAACACAGAACGATATGTAACGAATGACGCTCGATTGCCGCGTATTTGTTTACACCAAACACAAAACACACAATTCGCGCAACACACATTCGCGTTGTTTATCGTGGTGCATAAAAGCCGGTGACAAAATTGTAACGTTAGGTAGCACTAATATTTATGTCCAACACAGAACCCAACAGATTATAAAACCGGCGGGTTTTCAAGACACCTGGAAGAAAACACGAGCACGCACACAGCTATGCAAAATGGCTAACGAATATTTGCAAGCTGGCTAACAGGCTAACTGTAGCCTTGCAACACACACGAAGTACCTGCTACATTTTGTTCAGATATGCATATTACCTTTTTCATAAGCGGGTTCCACGCATGTTTATTCTCGGAAATATAAATTTAATCAAAAAACAGCTTATGGAGATTCTGAAGGCCGTAAATCCTCCCACCGATCCGCGGTCTCGGCTAGGCCGCACCCCCTGGCCAGTGCCTACAAAATACACGAAAACCCTGCCAACTCTCCAGATTTCTCTTGGGTTGCTCCGCAAAAACCCGATAACAGTCTTTTCGGAGTTTGCAGCGCATTTAGGGGAGTCGACAGGCGAGGACGGCCCGACACATAGTGTGTTTTATTTGGGGCTGGGATCAGTGACCACCGAAACCCCCGACAGCCGCACGGGAACCTGAATAACACATAATTGGCATCCTCACAAAACATACCGGAACTTCATTAATTTTAATCAAGAACGGCATGTACATATTAAAAACTAAAAACGTAATTATTACGCAGTATATGTGTCTGTCGCTGTTTCAGGGTATCGGGGAAAATTGTTGTTTTATTATAACGCTTTTGGAGGAATTATTGTAACACACGACAGGGTAATAGTTCATATGAAGCTTCAATAAGAAAATAAACGTCAGCATTTTGTTCGTGTGAACATTGTATGTTAATGTTTATACTAGGATGCAAGATTACGTTTATGTATATAGGCTTAATGTCATGTTGACCCGCTGTAATGGTTTATAAGGCAGAATGCAAAATAGCCGGAAGGTGACCCCGGCCCGGAACCATTTGAATTCATCGTTGCTGTAGTGGGACGCTGTGATGTTGTGATGGGTGTCCGAATCTTTTCTTGAATCGGTTCTTTCGAATGGTTAGTTTCAAAGAACCGCTTCAAAACGTACCTACGCCTCAAAGAAAAGGATGTTTTATTTTTTTATGAGTATACTGTTGACTTCAAGATTTGGTATATTGTGAATTTACTCATTATATATGGAAAATTCTTTATTCACAAATGTAAATGGGCAGTGAAAAAAACTAATTTTACTCATTTCAGAATAGAAATAGGTCACTACTTGTATACGTTAAAAGAAACAAGAAATAACAAAGCAAAAAAAACTGTAAATTACTTTAAAGCCTTAAATCTATTCTTTGAATAATTTGTAATTATTTGTACTTGTTTACAGACGTGAGTTTTTTTTTTATTGCTTTTATTATTTAGTTTTTATTTATTTATTTTAAGTATCTGTTTTCATTCAGTTTAAATGTTATTGCCCTTATATGTTCTTTGTTCTAAAAATTGCAATAATAAAAAAAAAAAAACGTACCTACGCGCTCATCCATGCTTTGAATAAAAAAATGTAATCCCAAATAAAACAGGCTGAAAAAAATATTAATAAAACTATTTTTTATAAACCCAACAATGTGTCGTTCGTGTGATGATATAAAACTGCCATATATAATCAAGTAGCTCAGAACAGCTCGGACCGCTTCGTTCAGATTTGTGAATGAATCATTCTGACCGGTGCTGTGAACCGGTTCAACTGATTCATTGTAAATGATCCGACTTATAAGAATGGCTCGTTAACGAATTCTTTGGTTTGTTGTAGCGGGGCGCTGTGAACAAACAGCAACATTTTTTCAACGGAAGCACTTTGCACGTCACAATAAGAATGCCATCACGTATCTGAGATGGTGTTTTGTAGGTTAATCAGGAGATTGTAGATAGCGTGTAAATGGTCCATTTGAGAGATAGGTGGCGGTAATGCACATATAAGTCTGCGATCCGCCGTAAAGCAACAACAAGAAGAAGAAGAGATGGTGTTTTTCTAGAAAAAGTTGTTTAATACGCTGGTGCAGCTTTTTAAAAAGATTTTCCTTTTAGCATGATTGTCAATTACAGTAGCACTTCTGAAGAGGAAACTGAAAGCTCTTCAAAAGATGATTCCTCACCTTTAAGGAAAAGAGGAAAACTTGACACTCAAACCAGGTTTGGTGCGTTTGATCTTCTGTTTCTTGATTTAGGTTTATTTTGATTTGCATTTCCAGAGCTCTAAGTTCCTCTTTTACCTCAATAGCACCAGTGAACCTTTGGATCATGGATCTGTTAAAAGGAAAGCTGGCAAATCAGCCCACTTGACACCTCGCCTGCCTCTTCCTGACAGCGTGAAGGAGATGTTCAGAGAACCTGAAGAACAGTGGATCGATAAAAGTGAAGAGCATGGAGGGCGACAGCGGTCCTTCCAGCATGAGCGGGGCAACTGGGCTACATACGTGTTCTGTCCTTGTAAGCATTTTCCTCAAGGTATTATTGAGGTAGACACTGTAATTTTTCTCTGAATGACCTTTAACCCTTTTTTAGATGATCCTGAGGAGGCCTTTCTGGAGCTACTCAATGAAATGGTGGTGGTTGCAGCTGCTCACGGCATCCCTCTGACCTTGTCTGAAGAGTTTCACGTCAGTATCTCAAAGACGGTGGTTCTGCGCCATCACTGGATCCAACCATTTATCCAGTCCATTCACACCGGTCTGACACAGTTCCAGAAGTCAGTGCAGTCTAATCAAAGCCTCATCAGGGGTTTTCACACTGTGTTTACTCTGGGTTATCATCATTCTAAACACTGTTTATAACCCCAGGAAGAGGAAATTACCACACAAGTAACTTAGAAGCATTGGTTTTTACCTGAGATTATGTGAAATGTGAAGCAAGATAACCAAGATTGCGGGGTTTAGAATGACTCATGGTTAACTATTTTAAGTGTGAAAAGCCCTACTGTTTCATTATGCCATATGTTAGTTGCTGGGTATCTAAGTCAGATTGTTTTCTCAGGTTTTTCTGCTTGGCCGATAAACTGAGGGTTTATTCTAATGCTGAAAAGACTAGGTATGTAATTACTCTTAACTGTTAATGACCCAACTAGGATGTGCATTATTTAGTTCTTCATATCAAATAATAGACTGTTTTAATGGCATAAAGTTGTTCATGCAGGACCTTTCTTGGTATGGAAATCTCCACTGGAAAAACTCAGTTGCTTGAGCTTATCAAGATACTGGATGAAACCATGAAAGAATTCAACCTTAGCACCTTTTATAAGGTAAAACCTGAAATGATATCATATTTGTGATTAAAATACAATCAAATTTAGATTCCTTGTAACACTCTTCTTTGTCTATTTTAGGATCCTTCTTTCCACATAAGCCTTGCTTGGTGTGTGGGCGACCATACGGAAAGATTGAAAAAAACATGTTTATCACAAATGCAGGTAGGAACCCAAACACAGATCTCCACCACAAATTAAACAAGGATGAGTATTGATTGAAGGCAAAGGTTGTGGAGTTGTGCTGTTGACATCTGAACTATAATAACCCGTTTTGTTTTTTTTGTAGAGTCTCATTGATGGTCATGAAGATGGGCCATTTTACATACAGCTCAACTGCACAGAGCTTCGCTGCAAATCGGGAAATAAAGTCTTTCTTTTCCCCCTCCAGTGATCTTGAAACACTGTTGAGAATGTGAATTTTCAAGTTTGCTAACATGTATTGCTGTTAACATTTGTGTTTTAAGACTTTTCATATTTAAGCAGAATATACTAAAGCTTTTGTACTAAAAACTGATGCATAAAGATCTCTTTGTTACATTATACAATTTTGGTAAAGAGTATTTTATTGTACATAATTGCAACATACCTAGGGCACGTATGCAACAATCTGTTGTTTAGCGACAAACAGCCAGACCATGGGTTTGCGTTCCACTGAAAAATGCATTGCATTTTTACCATCAAGCCATTTTACGAGCAACACGCCACATCCTGAAACTGAAAGACCTGGTTTCACTTTCCACAGTTGTACCTTCAAAAATACAGTCTTTGTTTTTATAACAGAACTTAATCTTATAACTCCAATTTTAAAGGCAACAAATAACTTGCTTCACAAATCATTATTCATTATATTCAAGAGGTCAGTACATGTATAAAAAGAAAAAAACTGAGGAGAGTTCGTACACGTGTAACAACATTAACACGTGGGTCGTGGCACAATTGCAGTCACAGAGGTTAAGCCGACAAATTGAGCAACAATGAGATATTCAGCAGTCGTACTGCACTACATTTGAGATCTCTTGATAAACCATAAATCAATACTGGTCACAGACAGCCTGATAAATAGCCTCTAGCTTGTTCGACAGAAATACTGCAGCGTCAGTACAACTTGGATAGAAAATGCATTTAAAAAAAGCACTAGGTAAAATCAGTAGATTTTAAGAAGTAGGAGGTAAAAGATTAAAAACAGACAATATTTAAAAATGTAATTGACAAGGTTTAAAGGCAGGCAATTGTTTTTCACATGAATCAACTGTAATTTGTGCATTAAAATCTCTATAACATTAAATTGTTAGATTTGAATTAAGCAGTAAAAAAAAAAAAAAACTACAACAATTTCTATAAATGTTGATTGTGCCCAACAATAGATGACCATTTCACGCTGATCTCCTGATAAACCTGAATTCCACAATAAAGGAACTTTGAAAAACGAATTTAGATAATGTACATCCTCTAGAAGTGACCCATCTCACCCAAAAAGCAGAACTGAGTCCTGTACCTTTGGCAAACCACAATCTTCAGTTCAAAGTTAAACGGGGGAAGTGTGATGCCATCACGGTGAAAACAGCACCTTTTTGATGTAGTTAACCGTGGTTATGTTCAACAGCATGGCAACGTGCTCATTCCCAGGCAGCTCGAACATGTTAACAGGCTGCTTCTGTTGGCCCATCCAGCGTTTGCATTGTGTCGCACTCAACAGGTTGACCGTTCCGTCTCCATCCCCGTTGATGACGGTGGGATCTACGTCTGGGAAGTTTGTGTAATTGTATCCCTGAGGTGTGGGGATTCCGCTGCCATATAGGCAGTGGACAGGAACGCCCGGAGGCTGAAGTGCACTGACCAGCGGTTCTGTGTCCTGCCTCATGGCCCAGCCGTCCTCATAGTTGATATCTTTGAAGAAGCGCTGATAGTCTTGGACAGTGTAGCTGGTGTTGGGGGTGGAAACCAGGACCATGTCTTTGGGCCAGGTGTGGGCGTAGGGGAAGAGCCAGACGGTGGAGACGGCCGTTCGCTGCTGGGTGCGAATTTTTAGAGGACTGATGACAGGAATGCGGTTGTTGTCGCCTGTGATGGAACCAAAACCATCAAAAGGTCAAAGCGGTGATCGAAAATGGGTTTGAAAACACAAGTGCCAAGTTTTTAGGGGTTGTTCACACCGGACTCGTTTCTGCATTTCACTGCATGTTTTTTTGAGTGTTTTGCCATGTAAATTTGTGCTAGACAGACATGTTTGACTGCAAAAACACGTTGTGTTGTATTTATGTATTTATGGTTTATTTCATATGCTTTTGAAAAACGTTTATACCATTTTCAAGGTTTTTTATTATTCTAAAAATAAAACAATTTTTAATATACATTGTAATTTTTTTTTTATATTTTCAATAAAACAGAAATATGTTTAAAATGCCATTTCAGATTTTCTACTTCAAATGTGTAACTTGCCATTTCTTTGTAACCGTTTGTAAAATTTACCAGCAATTCTTTATTTCACTGTATATTTGTCCAAATGTAATGTTTTTACAAATATCATTAACTATACATCTGTATGAAGTAAAGCACTATATAAATAAACGTGACTTGATTCAATTATTACATTTTTGCAAACCACATGACAAAAAAGCTTTAAAAATATATAAATATAAATATAATAGGCAGTTTTGTTAATAAGAATATTATTTAATAAAATCCTTTTTTTAAATTCTAGAATATTAAATAATCATGGTTCCTCAGAAATAATAATACAAGACTACGCCAAAGTACTTGAGGTTTTCTTTTCAAAAATGTTGATTTTTTTTCTTCATTATGATATGAGGACAGTTGTATCAATGTGACAGTGTTGACGTTATGCCCTCAAAAAATATCAAGACCATACAGATATTTACAGTCTTGAAAAATATCAAGACTAAAGTGAACTGCTTCACTGTGACAGTTCTGACTTTATGCTAACAAAAAATATCAGTTATGTTATAAATTAAACTAAGTTAATTATAACTCAGAAATTAAAGGTGTATTCAAGCCACTGTATATGTGAATGCATTTTTAATTCATTTTGTATAATTTAGTACAACAAAAATGAGAGCCACATCATTGACCTACAAATTCATTTCCACAAAATCTCCTTCCACAAAAAATGTGGCCCATACCTGTTGCCATAACTCTCAGAGTTTTGGCCACTCCGGCCCATGGAGGACCTAAAGACACATATGCCTTGATGTACCGGTCCTTCCAAGCCTGTGGCTGGTGATTAAGAAAATAGAGTGTGTACATATTCCCCATACTGTGTGCGATGAGAACCACAGGACCACCAGCTTTATTAGCCATCTCCTCAATCATCTGCTGCAGACGCAAGAAGTACTCCTTATTATCATCTACAGATACAGATCAGAAGAAAAACGTAAGAAGTTAGACATAAAGACAAGAATCAACATGGTCCCGAGAACTTTGTTTTTTTGTGCACAAACAGATCATGAAGATACTGACTTGGGGCTTTACGCCAGTCATAGGGGGCACCTCGAACATCATCGTCTCTGGTATAACCCCAGTCAACCAATGCCTGTACTATAGTGAAGTAGTACATGCCTGAAACAGACAAAGCTCTCGTCAAACAACTGTTACCAATCAACATACTAACATAATGAAATAAACACCTAGTTTGCACTCACCCACACTCCGTTTGCTAGGATCCAGATATTCCAAACTATATGTCTGTCCAAAACCAGGCACTCTGACATCCACCCCCGGAGGAGCTTCAGTGAGGTGGGCTGAGTGATTGTACAGTAGCCTGCAAACAAAATATATGCTGATTACATATTTGCATATTCAAAGCAAGGTATAAAAAGTTATACGGAGAAAGAGTTCAAAGAATGCACAGCATGTCTTTATCTTTACATTCAATAGAGTGCATTATTGCCAGCCAACTTTTTCCAATGGCGTTGGTTCCAGAAGCATTTTTTCTATTAATTTTTCCCATAGAGATTTCTAAAAAGTATTTATTAAAGTATTAGAACAAGCCATTAACCAAGCCAACTAGCTACTAGTGTAGGTGAATCACAACATTACAAACTTTAATTTGAAACAAAAAACGTATTTGAAAATTGAACGAAAAGACACCGGTATAAGAGTGTGCACTCACTGAGAGAAAAACTACAATCCCATGAAACATTGTGAATGACAATTAAATTTAAAATGGAGAAATATAAAATTAACCATTAAAAGTTGTTAATTATATCTATAGAAACAATATATTTAAAGATATTGCACACACTTTTGGCAGGATTTGTTCGCTGCAACCATAATTGGATTCAATTTTCTGTTTAGCATAATGGGTAATGTAGTTTTTTGCTACAAATTCAGCAGTTAAACACAATTATTTTAAAAATAGGTTAACATAATGTGAATGGGTGCTTCAACAATACCACTGATTTAACAACCAAGAAGAAGGATGCTTGTTTTTGAAAAATTCTATGGATATCAATTGCCACATCACGTGAACAACTTCCGATTCCTGATGCCCTTTTGCCCTTTACCTCATGTTATCAATCCAGCAGTCAATGGCCACCGGCACCAGCAGCTCCAGGTTGAGCCATAATGTGAAGTAGTCCTCTGTCTTCTTGTAGCAGATGTAGTGCACTACACTAGGTTTGTCAAGTTTGGCTTCAAGCTGATTCCCAAGATCTCCTGGAACTACAGAGAGAGAGAGAGAAGTAATTAGGCCAGCTAACCAATCACATAATCACTATGAATAAAAATACAAGAGAGCTTAATCAAATATTAATGAGTTTACACAGTCAAAAAGCTACTATAGATATGATCAAAGAACCACTGATTAAAAAGACTTAACACTATCACTATCCAAAAGAGATTACCAATTTATCCCCTACTGTTTAAACATCTCTATCATCACTAATCCTGGCCAGTTTGGTCTGGTTTGAAGCATTTGACCCCCCACTATACTTCCAAGTATGGTTTCCTGCAATGTTTGCATGTCTTTATCATCAGTCACCACATCCAGAATTCATTTTGCACATATTTAACATGACTAAGAAGAATTTTTGCTCCTGCTATCAAGTGTCATGTAAATATTGGCTAGTCAAATGTTGTACTTAAGATATTGTTATAGACATTTTTTGTAGAAATAATGTACTTAAGCCATCTTTTATTGCGGTATAATGATGTAGTGTAAATTTAGACACAAAGACAGATCTTTTTACACAAAAAGTATCTGATGGAAAATCCAGTCTAGTTTTGTTTTGTAACATGGTGAGGTGATTTCCAGCTAGAAGACAAGCAAACATATTCACAAAAAGATTTTAAGGTGGTCTTGGCTACCTAAAAGTGGTATGACCAGCTGTTCTACCAGCTTTGATCCGCTAATGACCAGGTAGAAACCAGGAACCAGTGGGCCATACAAGTTCAAGGAGGTCAAAATGGTTTATGGAACAGATTACCAGATAAAAACCATCTTGGATCAGCTAAAAACTTGCTATCATGTTCCAAAACACAGATACTACACCGAAAAAATGATACTAATTTTTTTTAAGGTAAGTGGTTGCAAACAAAAATTAATTGATTGCAACCACTTACCTTAAAAAATTTAGTAAATTCAATGAATCATATTTTATCATTTTAAATGGATTCTCCATCAACGGACAATGGTGCATGGAAAGTATGATAATAGTTAGCACATTGTACCATGGTACTTACATGGTACTCTTAAGATATTTCAAGGTACATTAGACTTTTAAGGTTTATATGACTAACTAACTAACTAACTAAAAAAATAAATAAATAAATGAATTAAAATGAAATAAAATACAAAAATACGTATTATGACAGTGCCATGTCAAAAACATGGTTAGGCTACTTCTATACAATACTTCTATAAAGTCTGAAAAAAGATCGTATGTAATAAAATGTAGTCGTAAATGTCATAATTTCCCTTCGTGGAATAAAAAAAAACACACAAAGTATTGTATTTTGCTGTTTTACTATGACCGGCTGCGAAATCAGTGACAAAAGAGTCGTTTGATTTTTTTTCCCCTCAAGTCATATGACCGCGTCATATGAGAAACCGTCAAAGCGAAAATAAACATTTAGACAGAAGGAAAAAGCCAGAAAAGAAACCGAGAGGCTATAATACTATGGATTTGCAATGTTTTTTTACATTCATACTCTCTGACTGTGTTTCTTCAGTAAATTCCAGTGAATAATTACATCGCCTTAACGCTCGCAGCTGTTTAGTCACGTGTATTAAACTGTTAATAAAATATCGACACCTTTCAAGAAGTGTTTAGCCACCACAGATAAGATCTGGTTATAAACGCATT